GATCCCATTACGCTTACTTCGGGGGTGGTGGTGGGGGGGGCTTCAGACTACCTTGTCACACCTGACCGCTCTGGTGGGCCCGCCGGGCGCAGTCATGAACCGCGCGGGGCAGCCTAACTCTGCATTTGTTGTTTTTTTTTTTCGGCCGATGCAGATGCCGATATTTGACAGGAGAAAATTCTGATAATTACCGAAGCGTAGAACCGCCAACGTAAACTTTTCGGCTGGGCTGTGTCATTTGAACGGACTGCAAAGTTGTTCAAACATATTTGGCAAAGTCATTTCTAACGTATTTGGCAAAGTCATTCTGATTCATTCAGATCCAGGCCACGAAAGCAAATCAAATTGTGTCGACTTCCACGATTCTTGCTAACATCGAAACGGAATGTCAAATTGTCATATGTATTTTCACACGAGAATGAGACCCCAGCTCAAAGTTGGCACCTGGATCAACACGGTGACAGTCAGAGACACAGAGAGAGAGAGAGAGAGAGAGAGAGAGAGAGAGAGAGAGAGAGAGAGAGAGAGAGAGAGAGAGAGATCAGCAGGCAAATTAACAGACCGAAGGCGTAAGGCGCCACCCTGGCCGCCACGCCAACCCACTTTTGCGCCAGGCAGGCGTCGCGCCGCAGCCACCGAGCAGATGTTGTAATCGGCTGTTGATCGTGTTGGGATATCTCGAGAGCCCCGCTGTCAGCTGTTCTCACATGCAAGCAGCAGCGGTGGGAAGTAATCAAATTAAGTCCAGTTTTCAGAAATCAGTTTATTCCCTACCTTTCCCCAATGCTTGGAATGTATTGGGGGGGGGAAATAAATTGCGATTTTTTTTTTCTTCTCAATTTTGCAATTGTGATTTAATTATTTTTTTCAAGGGGCAAGCTCATTGCAGGGGTGCACTCAGTGAATGGATGCGCTCAATCATTAGCAACAGCCTCTGAAGTGACAACCGCGCCATGTTTTTGTGGTTCACATTTTTTTGGGAATGCATTTATATATAAAATATGACAGGAGGTCGCAGTTTTTCCGTTGCCGCATGCAGTTGGGTCCACTGCAGTCACGTTCGGCTACCACTGCACAAGTAAATTGAGTTTGGCCACCGGAACACATTAAACTCTTGAGTTCAAAC